CTAGATCAATTTCCAGGTATTGTGTGTTTGTACAAACTCAGCCACAGATACATCTTTATGGGGCCCTGTAGCAATGGCTCCATCCTCTAACTTCATAATTCACTACCCTGAACACCTTACTTGAAGAGGTGTTCCACAGTGTAGGGAGAGTCTCTTGCCTGTGTCTCCTTTAGGCCTGTGAGAACCTGGAAACATCTGAAAGCCTTCATCAGAGAGATGCAGTTTAACCAGTTGTCAAGGATCCCTGGAAGTGATTTCCTGTGCCCTAAAGATGATGGTTTCTAAAACTTGCCAAATACTTAGCTCATTAAATGATTTATTTAATTAAATGTTTATTAAATTTAAATAATTCCCTCTAGTTTCCCAAATTTTCTGCTTTTACTTTCAAATGAAGAGAAAATACCCCAAAATATTATTTTATGTTTTTAAAAATTGTTTAATTATTATTACAGATTGCTCTCAGATTAGGGCTATTGATTGTAGGTGTTTGACTGGGTCCTTAGGCGCCTTAATGGTTTCAGGATCTTCTGGAAGAGCTGAGGAAGGGGAAGCAGAGGAGAGGTGGATATCTGGACATTCATCACTTTTCTCCCGTTGGGACCAAGTCCTTGACAAAAACAACTTGGGGAGAACTTCAGAGAGTTCAGTGCATCATGGAGGGAAAGGGAAGGGTGGCAGCACCTTGTCCACTCATGAAGCAGGAGGCAGAGACCCAGAAGACAGAACCAGGTCTGCCCTTAATGACCACAGCCTCCCCAGAGCAGCACCGCCGGGGCCTGCCCACGTGTGACAGGAGCCCCAGCACCAGAGCATCATTGCTTTGGGGCTCTGTGGGAATTTTAGAAAAAAATGGTTAAGGAAGCCCTAAGTTGAGAATATTTTTTAAGTTTAAACATTTAAATTTGGGGGAAAGGTACCAAGCCTCCTCCATTTTCAGCTTGTCTTCCATTCATCCTCCTCTATCCTTTTTGTCCACCGTGCCCTCCCTTTCCTTTCACTTGGGTTTTGTTGTTTGTGCCCTTACAACCATTTTTAAATACAGCTTGACATTGAGCACACTCCTCACTGTTCTGCCAGCCATTCCCACCCCTGTCTCCGTCCACAGTGCTTTTCACTGTCCCATATGGAAACTGTACCCCTTAGACACAGCCCCCACTCCCCAGCCTTCCCCATCCTGATCTTTCTTTTCATTTGAACCTGAATGGCTCTGAGGATAATTATCCAAACTGAGTTACTCCACTGCAGTTAGCACCTGCCTTCCAAGTTTAAAATCTTGTATGGCAGAAATATGATTAGGTCTACAGCGAGTTGGTACAAACAGGTCACAGTAACTGACAACATGGACAAGTGCCTTGTAAAGGCAGAAAAAGATAACTAGTATTTGGTGATCTTGTAGCCTGTCTGGGTGACCTAGAGAAGGCCATGGCAAGAGCAAAACATACAATCCCCATGTCTCCATTGGGGCCACATTTTGTTAAATCTTGGTGGTGTTGATTTGTCTTTTCAATGGTGGTGGTAGTGATGATCTGGACTGTCACTGTCCTCCTTGATCTCTGCTAGCCCTGGCCTGTGGTACCACTGAGTGGTTGACTATAGTGACCTCTTCGAGTTTAGGAGTGTATTCAGATCCTAAAGGTCAAGGCTCACACCCAAGCCTGTTGGCTCAGCTCAGACATGACTGTGCCTGCTCTCTGACAGTCAGCTTGTTGGCGTTCACACTTGCATTCCCTGTGGTTTGGGAGGGTTTAGGCAGTTGTGTACCTGAGTTGAGTGGTAACACCCATACCTCACCAATGTAATCTATCTAGAAAACAGCCAGTATACTGGTGGGCCCTCAGGACAGCCCATGTGCTTCAGTGGTCTCCTCCGGGGACCTGCATAAGGTCTCACAGTTTGGAAGAAGCAGGGAGCTGAACAGTGTCAGTTAGACATGGGTGTCTGTGGTCATAACCTGCTGGTCCTGGTATGTTCTGTCTCTTTATTTTGTTTTAACAATGCAGTTTATTACAGTGTATCTCAAAGAAGGACAAGTGATCATGGGATATGCAATAATGAGGTTTCTTATATCTTTTGGGCACCCCCACAACAAACAAATACTTTGACTGACTTTCTGAAACCACATCAGAATCTTACTTGTTCTTGGAGGTATTCTTGGTCATGATACAGGGCACAGGGCAGAACATCCTGTCTTCAGATATTAGTAATTATTATTAGCTTCGGGAGGCCTCTCATTAGAGAGAAACTGAAAATACTGAAGAAACAGTGCTTTTTCTCCTACAAACCAGAGGTAGAGACAGATGTGTGGTTAGGTGATGGAGTGGTCCAGGGACGTTAGCTATAAGAAATTCTAACAGTATCCAGTGACCTGGGAGGAGATAGAGACCAGGAGGCTGTTTAGGAACCCAAAGTGGGGGTTGAAAATGTTATTCCGAGCCAGGGATAGCAAAGGGCAGTGCTCCCAGGTGTAGGACTTACATGGAGATTCCTGCAGAGGGCAGTGCTCCCAGGTGTAGGATTTACATGGAGATTCCTGAAGAGGGTAGTGCTCCCAGGTGTAGGACTTAAGTGGGGATTCCCTGACATCTCTGGAAGAGTCCTGCATGTGCCTTTAATATATCTCGTGTGTTAGCCTATCAGGCATGAAACTTTGTCTGAATCAGACCACACAGTCCCCTGAAGTTATCCTGAGATGATGCACTTTACATCACATAGACCATTGAATTGATGATGGTGTTAGTCAGCATACTTGGCTAACAATCTGGTTGGACAGCTTGCCTGTGTGGTCCTTGCCCTTGCTGTGTGCACAAAAGGCAAGGCACAGAGACTAGGTACCCTCAGCCCACTGCACACCTACACAGGCAGCCCACGCAGCTCGTGCTCAGCTCAGCCTCTTGATAGAAGAATGTGATATTCAGTGGTCAGTGCTCCAAGGAGGGTTTGGGGGTTCTAGCTTTCCCTTTCTGATCTCTCTGCTAGTATTGCATCTTCTGTTGCATGTCATGAGTGTCACAGAAGCCTGGAATAAGAAGGCAATTCAGATGATTTTTATTTCATCTTATGTAAACTGGTGTTTTGCCTTTGTGTGTGTCTGTGTGAGGTGCCAGAAGTCCTGGAACTGGAGTCACAGTTGTGAGCTGCCATGTGTTTCTGGGAATTGAACCTGGGTCCTCTGGAAGAGCAGCCAGTATTCTTAACCCTGAGCCGTCTCCTTAGAGCACCGTGGGACCCTTCAGTGGAGCACTGCTAACTTGTAGGTTCTGGTGACTTGGAGTGGGGTAGACTTCTCCCCTAATCTTGAAAATGTTTTATGTGTTCTGGCTTCAATGTCTGGGATGCAGCGGCACTTCCTGTGAGTTTGGGCAGTTATAAGTGTCTTCCATCTAAATTGAGACCCTGTGTGTGTGTGGTAGAGCTCTTTCCTTAGTGCCCAGTATTCTTGCAAGGGCTAAGGGACCTCCTGTTTGTAGTTAGGAAATTGCCACCTATACTACTTTTGGTTCTGTGGGAAATCTGTAGATTTGATCAGTAGTAAAATCATCATAGAACATTTATTGTTTGAATTTTTCAACAAGATGTAAAAAAGGAAGAGCCAGTGTGGTTAATTCTACCTGTGTTCACAACAGCTGAGATCAGTCCTGAGACCAGGAGTCCTCCTGCTTCTCACTTCCTCCTCCTCTCTCTTCCCCTCCCCCTCTCTCTTTCCTCTCTCCCCCATTGGCACTGCTCTGGTTGTTTGTTTGGGGGGGGGGGGGTTGAATGGGTAATAGTATTAAGTGAAGGTATTTCTTACTTCTTCTTGTTTGCTCTTTCTCTTTTTCCTTTGTTTTTAGTGGGAGTAAAGTGAGCCCCTGGCTACTCAGGATTTACGCTCTTGCCTTTGACATACACTCGGGATTGGTTAGGTTGGATTTGAGTGCAGCTTGCAGTCCTCAAGCTGGAACTCACTTCCCGCTGCCCTGGATGCTGTGCTTGTTCCCTGAGCCTCTTCCGAGAAAATCTTACACCTTTAGTCAGTACAGCAAGAAATACATTATGAGGAGTTGTGCTTGGTTAGATAAGTTGGTAAGTGTGAAAAGAAATTGAAAGTAGCTTAGCAGGTGTGAAACTGAATCATTTTACACTGTGGAGACTTTTGTGTCGAGTATCAAGTGACAGTGCAGTATTCATCCATCTGGAGTCTACAGAAGCTCTCTGTCACCAGACAGACCACAAGCTGTGGTCCTCCAAGGGCTGAGGAACTTAGGGCAGAGCTCCTAAGAGCTCAGGAACTTAGGATGGTGTTCCATGGTTTGTCTGGAAAGTGAGTTTCGTTTACTTTTGTGTGGTAATGTGTGACTTTCTAGAGAATGTTTAATTAAAAATAAGTTTTTATGTGGTAACACTAGAAAATCCATTACTATTGACCATCTCTCTTTCCCTTTTTGGTTAGTATCTTGTTTGCCTCTTTAAAAGGTTACCTATTTTAAGCCAGGCATGGTGACACATGCTTTTTAATCCCAGCTTTTAGGAGACAGGCAGGTGGATCTTTGTGAGTTCTAGGCCAGTCTGGTCTACATACGGAGTTCCAGGACAGCCAGGGGTACAGAGAGAAACCCTGTCTCAGAAAGAAAGACAGGCAGGAAGGGAGGGAGGGAGGGAGGGAGGAAGGGAGGAAGGAAGGAAGGAGACTATTTTTCAGAGTATATGATAATGGAGCACATACTTGATCTTAAATTTAAGTAAGAAGCCTCTGTCTCCACTTACTCTACACTGTATATGAAAGGGAGTTTTGAAAGCAGTCCACCTACAGACAGAGGATGACAAGCCGGATTCTGTGCTTCTGTGGAAACAAGAAGCCAGTCTGTAAAGCAGAACTTTGACAAAATTATCTTAAAGTTTCCTCCTTCCCCCTCTCTGTCTCTCCCTCCCAGGTCTCACCATGCAGCACAGACTGCCTTGGAATTTTCTCTGTGTCCTAGGCTGAACATGAACTTGCAATCTTCCTGTCTCATGCTCCCCAAGTACTAGGATTATAGGCTTGTGTCACCATGCCTAACTTGTATTTTAAATATTACTCAAAACTTCTGGTGAAGTGAATACCAGAGGATCCATTACTAAAGACCTCAGAGAAAGGAAAATTACCAAAGTTTGAGGGACAGGAAAGACCAGTGTTTTAAGTGGAGTAGTACATAGGTAGAAAAAGGTGAAGAGCCAGGGTATAATGGCACACTTAAGTGTGAACCAGAGTTGAGGTTCCCACCTAAAGTCCTGGCCAGTCAGGAGGTAGAGGCCAGTGGATCTCTTAGGCTGATAACACACTGGGATCCTGTCTTCAAAAATAAAGTGGCCAGGGAATTAAAAACAAAGAACTCAAGTGGTGCCCAGTTAGAGAACAAAGCAGAAGGATTACCGCTAAAATTGCCTACTGTTCAGAAACATCTTGCAGGGAAAGGAAATCCCTTAAAGAAGCAAAAGATGAGAAGAAATTACTGTAAAGCAGTAGCTATGTGGGGAAAGGCAGCAGGATGGTCCCTCTGTTCTGATAGAATCCTTCCAACGCCAGCTGTTTTCATTAGAGCAGTCTCAGAGCCTTAAAGGAAAATGTGGTCACTGTAACTACCCTATGAAAGTCTCTACGCATCAGTGCACCGAGTTATAAAAGTTAAGTAACTTTAGCAGACCCTGAACTTTTTCCAAACATTGAGTAGCTTAGGAACCCCTTTTTTTCTATTTAGACACATTCCAAACAGCTGAGGCCTGAGTATGCCCTGGCTTCACGTCACACTGCCACTTACACGAACACCAGCTGCTTATCTCGGGAAATGGATGTTTTAGATGAAGACAGGATTGCGAGCCAGTCGCAGGGTCTCTGGGGGTGCCGCCAGTTGTTGATTCTTCCTGCCCCCTGCTTTTGAAATGTAGTAATGTATCTTACTAAGTACTCACTACCTCAGTCCAGAAATTTACGGATTTACAGTAACTGATTTACAGCCCTCGAAACTCCGCAAACACAGGTGGCATTTCCTCTCTTCTCACCAGATGTTGTACAGACCTACCCTATGTTTTCACAGCTGCCAAGTGGCAGATGAAAGTCCAAACTGCTGGCGTGGCATTAAACACTCATTCTTTTGGGCATGGGCTCGCTCAGATCTTTAGCTCTTCTTTAAAGAGAGGGTAGGAACCCTTCTGTTGGGTAACTTGTGGGTTTCTGTCTTCCTGAGAGGCTGTGGCTCTGTCAGGAAGAATAGCTGGAGAACTGGATGGCAATGTGATTGGCCTTCTCTGTAGTGCTTCTAATGAAGCCAGTTGCTAGAGCTTCTATTTAGGGCAAAGCCCCCAATCACCTGAAGGCCTCATCTGCCGGGCTACTGGGACTGGAATAATATCCCAAGGCATTGTCAGCCATAGTACTGAGCCTACAGAGAAGCCAAAGGGAACAAAACCTCTTGATGAGTAAATGACCACATGGATGCCACAGGCTGGCATTCTCCACAGGAGACCAAGTGCAGGCCTCCATGGCCCTTCTCTTGCTTCATTTGAAGGAGACACTATTCAGAGAGCTGAAATTCTTGGGCAGAAAGAGATTGGCATCTAAAACGTGTACATTCCCATTGTCCATGCCTGTAAACTCTGAGGCTATGCCAGTGCTGTGTGTGGTCTGCACAGCTTAGGGGACAAACTACCCTAGGCCAGCATCCCACAGAGATGGAACCACTGGGCCCATATTCAATGCTTTTCTCTTTTACACAAGTCAGGGCTTCGTGAGTTCCTGATGATTGTTGATCTGGTGGTGGCAATGGGCGTGAGAAAGAAAATGTAAAACAGCAACATGTTTATATCACTTCCATGTCTCCTATGTATTGAATCAAATTGCATGTCTAGTTAAAATTAATGCTGTCCTTGTCTTGCTAATATGTCTGCTAGAAGATCAAGTGTCTGTGTGCTTGGATTTGTGTTGGGCAGTGAGGATCTGGAAAATCTGCCTGCCAATTGCATTCCTGTGCGGTGATTCTTGACCCCAGATGAAAACAATACTCACCTGTGAGCTGTAAAGTCAGTTACTCAGTCACACTCAACTGTGAGCCGGGAAGTCAGTTCATACTCAGTGCCGCTGCACACCAGGGATGTCTAGGCCTGAGAAACAGGACAGCAGCAGTGGAGAACCAAGCAACTGTTAACCCACTCCAATGTGTCGCCATTCACACTCAGCACTTTTTGTTGGCAGTCTTTAAAGTAAGAGTTCCTCTACTAACATCTTGAGTAGGGTGAAATAGTTTGTTAAAGAAGAAAACGCTGAGGGTGAGCCAGGACTTCAGGTGATTCTTCATTCAGTGAGTTCTAGGAAGCAGGTGGCAGTGGAACAGGGACGGAGGAAGGCCCCCAGGAAAGTGGCCTTTTGCACTAGATGGGATATGGAGGCCCAGCCTTTGGCTGGAGGAATTGTCTTGACTCCCAGAAGGAATTGGGCCTGTTGGAGCATTTGCTGCAGACAGCAGTGTGGGAATACTGATGGAGTCAGTTCTGAGAGCTCCATCTCAGCAGAAATGGGATTTAGGCATGTGGATTAGAAGCATAGGACAGGGATTAGGGCTGCATTTTTCCGGAGGCTGATAAAGGGCTTCCTGTAAGGACAAGCGACTGCTACACACCTGGCTTTGGCTGTCAACAGTGTGTTCCAGCCAACTGCAAATGGAAGACAATATTAGAACAACAACACAGAACAGGGATGGTCTGGGGTGGGGAGAGTGAGTTCTGGTTCCTCAAATCACTGTGGATGACCTGAGGTCAGACACAGTCTCTGGTTTCAGGGTACCGTTGAGGCTTGTGAACAGAGCTGCAGTGAATGTGCCCAGCAGTGTAAGCTGTGCTCCTCAGAGCCTGTGTCGTCATGAACCAAGCAACATAGACACAGTCTGTGCATCTCAAGCATTCTCTCACCTCCCAAGGTGACTGATTCCACGGGCCAGCCACCTTTCTCCACTGTTGTCTGAAGTGGATTTCCTTAGTGTTCATTGGGCAGAGTAAGAAAAGAATTCAGTGCTTGGCCTCAGGCATCCTGAAGTTAGGGCTTTAGCTGAATATGGTGATACTTTAGAAATTCTAGATTACTATTACTACTTTACATTTCACTTCATTTGGTAGTCAAAAGAAATTGACCAGGTTAGCTATCACTGAACACAGGATCTGTTATGGGCCACGAATGTTAGTGTGTCTTTGGCGTAGTGAGCTTGATCTCTATAGTTAAAGTACCACACAAAAGCTGGGCTGGCTGCTCTGTAGCTTCAGTCTTGCACAGTCTCATGGACTTTTTTTTTTTTTTTCCTGGACTGACTAGAACGGATTGCACCGTAGCCAAATTAGATGTCAGCACAAAGGGAATTCAATGGCAGACCTGAACAGAATAGAAGTGACAAGTGAAAATCAATTAAAGGAGCCAGCTGCATGGTCTGTTGAGTGGCACAGGCCATCACTGTGGGGATCTTATGCTCTGTGCCTTACTAGAGATCGATGCTTTGACTTTGTATTGCTAATGCACACACATAAAACCTTTGGGCATCCTGAAATTTTGATGGCATTATTAAATACTTCAATGTTTGCTAGGATTTGTTGGTTTTGGTGGCTCAGCATACATAGTTTCTTTGGGGGACAAAAGAAAGGTATGAGACGTGTTTTAAAACAAGCCCTCTATTTTCCACTGGCAAGTCCTAAGGAGACAGGTCTTGGAAAGCTGCTAAGAGAACATGTGACTAAGGGTTTGCCAGCCATGAGCTGTTGCCTGTTGAACTACAGAGATGTCAATAGTCTAGCAATGTTGTCAGCATCCTGTGTTCACTATTAGAAACGCTAGTGGTGACATTGTGAGCACATTCTCTGTTGACTTGTATCTCTCAGTCCTTACCCATCCTGCTTCTCCACTAGTGAGTATGTGGACTAAGCTGGTGCTCTTGATGAAGTTGACTAAACTCAGCTTGCATTGTTTGCTCAGACGACAGATTCCTGGGGTTTGTAAATTAGCAATTTTAGAAGTATTAAAGTGAGAGTACGTATGTTATGAATCTGCTAGTAGCTTGGCTCCTTCTAGATGACTGATAGCCTACACTTAAATGAGTTGAAACTTATCTGTGATTATACTGCTGTGGAATGAATGTGTTTCCATCTTGCTGGCTGCAGCTACTTTTAGCTTGGTAGGGGTAAAGCTTGATATGTAGTTGCCATGGGCAGTGCGGTGTGAGGTAATGCTGGCTGCACACTGGATTAGTCAGTGTTTTGAAAGAAGGTGATCATCTGAATTTTAAATTTCAGGACATACTCATTTCCAGTGGAATATAAACCTTTTGGTGGGTATCAAAACTAGAACATAAGTCTTTCGTGGAAAACAGTGATGACTCAAATGGACAGTTTATTACATTTACTCAATAAAATTTATTGACTACCTTCAAACACTAAATACTATGCACGTTGCTGTATTATGTCAGGAATGAAAAAGATGAATAGCAACACGCATTGTCCTCTCTTCTAGGAACACATAGGCTAACAGAAAAAAACAGTCAGATCATCATAATTCAGTATTTCGAAGAATAACTGTCTAATTGGACAGGAATAAAAGGCAGGTGATACTGGATACCACACACTTCTCTTCACACAATGCCTGGCATGTGGTTTAGGTACTTGGGTAGTAATTTAAAATTGATGAGAACCAGACTGAAGAAGAGACATGGAGGAGAGTGAACCAGTTCCCCCCCACAGAAGCAAAGTGAAGCTCCATCTCAGAGAGACCTGTGAATAGTCAGTAACTGATGGACAAAGCAGAGGCTGACTGGAAATCTGTAGGATCTGGAGAGAATTAGCCCAACTTAGAGGCTTGGAAGCTTAGCTCAGGAACCTATTCTGCAAGCAGGTGAAAAAGTCTGGTCAGGATGAAATGGAGATATAGCTTAGGGTTTAGCACTGTCTTTGTTATTCTAAAGCTAGGGGTATGAATGAGATTATGCCATCAAGGATGTGATGATGCCTGTGAAGGTGTAGGGGAAGATAAGGATTTTCCATGTGGCTGGGGGAGTCTACCTGCAGACTTGCAGATTCTAAGCAGACTTTCCACCACGGAGTATGCATGCAGTATGCTCATAATCCCTGTGCATATAGCTATGTGTTTTTATTCATTTTAAGTTGAATATAAATTAATGGATTTATGATAGTTTCATATTTGATTCTCAGTTGTCCCCCTTCCCCACTGTACTCCCCCATGTAGTCTGCTCCCTCTTTCCTTCCTCCCCCAGACAGTCCTCCTTTAGTCTTCCTTACTATAAATTTAAGATTTCTTTCCTCTCATCGTTCCCTTTTAGTTTCATGACTTACACACAAATGTACAGATGTATACAAGTACACACAAAATATGCAATTTTAAATATGGTTCTACATGTAAGAGAAAACACAAGGGACATTTCTAGGGTTGATAACACTATTCTGAAGGAGACCCACCCTTCTTACAGTAAGGCCTCCAATTTTCTTAGTATCAGGGTAGGATAGTTTGTTGCCCAAGGGAAAAGTCACCAAGGCTGTCATTTTGCCCTGCCTTCCCTGTGCCAGTCACAGGAGTACTTGAAACTCACCTCTGTAGATCCTGCCCTCAGACAGATTCAGCTCTGAAGTGAGCCCCATCTTCACCAACCATTTCACCAGAATGCTATCACAGAGCATCCATAGACTGACTGGCAGAGCTGTAGCAGGCTGTGGCTCAAGACAGAAAAACTTGTTTCTATTGACACAAATGGAAACTTTTTCTGTTTGGGTTGGGAAAGATTGCTGTTTCACTCTGTTAAAAGATACAAAAGTAAGTTAGGTACTAGAGCCAGTCTGGCCTACAATGCCATCACACTGTAATTGGTTGCTCTTTTTATGTTACTAGACATCAGTCTGAACCAGGCTGGCCTCGAACTCACAGAGATCCTCCTGCCTCTGCCTCCCAAGTGCTGGGATTAAAGGCGTGTGCCACCAACGCCTGGCCTTTAGACATCAGTCTCAGTCCTTACACATCTCCCATTGATACTTTGTGCTTGATTTCCATATTAATGAGAATGACTGGTATCCTTATGTATCTTGATGTTTCTGTTTTTTGAAAAAGAATTTTTAAGTATGAATTTAAACTTCCAGTACCCAACTCCAAACAAGTGGATATTTTGTTTTCAGATATTAGACTTCTCCTGTGTGGCTATTGGACATTTGACTGTTGCTAGTCCAATCTGAGATGCACCAAGTACAAATCCACACTGGATCACGAAAGCACTACATAAGGAAAGATTAATGCAGTTCAGTAAGTTTTAAATGAACACATGTTAAAATAACATTTTGAGTATAGTGGGCCAAATAAGAAATACTGCTAAAATTAATTCCTCTTGTTTGTTTTTAAATATGGAACACATCACCAATTTTCTTGGTATCTTTGAATTGGGCTGAGCACATCTATAGAGCTCCAATTTTAGCGTCTGTATTTCTGAAATGAGTATTTTTTCTTTTATTTTCTTGATGTGGTTACTAGAATATGGTGTGACACCTATTCGATTGTGTTATATTTCTGTCAGACAACATTGCTCTAAACAATTTTATGTGAAATACTCAGCACCCTGCCTTAATTGAGTTGCCCCTAGTTGTGGACCTCTTTTCCTCTGGTTGATCTAGTTGGTAACTTCTCTGCCCCATGAATATGCTAGTGGTGATGCTGCAATGACTCTGGATCATTTAAAGCCATCTCCCTTGATTACGGAAAGCCTTGAAACTAACAGAATGGGGAATTGATTGGTACTTCTTTGACTATTCAAATAGCAATACTCCAGTCAGTAAGTATCAATTTAGGGGAAAATAATATTTTTGCTATTTTGTTTTGGTTGCAATTTCTTTAACAACAGCAGCAAGTTAGTTTTGAATAATATGTGCTCACCTCCTCCTTTGTTCCTCAGCAGAGCCCAGTAAGTACTCACTTGAGTGGTATCAAATTTTAGGAAATTGTCTAGAAGCAAGTTGGACACTGCTATGTTGGGCATGTGTAGTAGTTGTTGAAATACCACAAACATGGACATCTGAAGCTGGGGTGGCTCTTTTGTTCTTCCTAAAGAACAATTGGTGAGTTGAGAGAATCTCACATCAGAGTATGGCCTTTTAGTGCATTTACAAGTGGGGAGCAAACACAGCTCTGGCTTTCTGCTGTGGCCCAAATGTTTAGAACCTCAACTGTCCCCAGATGGAAACGGAGTTTGATACAAGGGAAAACTGTGCAAAAGCAATTTGTAACCTTCTCTTATTGTAATAAAGAAAACTTTACTTTCTATGGATACTAAAACATAGCTTCTGGTGAGTGGCTTCTCTAATGTCTGAGAGGTCATCTTTTGGCCTCAGCCTACCTGTGCCCTGGTTTACCAATGTGATTACCAATGCATTGCTGGGTGTAAGAATGGCTGCTTCCCAGACCGCCCTCATTTTCACAGGGTTGAGTAGGTAGTCATCTGTAGGGCACTATACTTACCTATGCAAAGGTCCTACTTCATGGCACTCATGGGGAATATATGTGTACATATATGGCTCTGTATGAAATGGAAACATTGCAGTTCAGTCTGGCACTATATACATTCTACCACCGGGGATCAGTGAAGCCTTGGAAGCTTTCAAAGGGCAGCATTATAGAGAAAGTGAAGAGGCCTGATAAAGGGGTGAAAAAAAATTCTGTTACCTTATCATACAAGTCACCAGAGAGGGTGATTACCATCCATTAATGAGTTTAGGGGAATGAAGCCACTTGGCAGATTAGGAACAGGCTCCCCTGGCCTTTTAACCTAAACTCATGTCCTTTGATATTCTGGCATTGTTTAAGTGGATCAACAAATTGAAATCCATGTTTGCCAAGGATAGCATATAAAGCACCATGAGAAGTGGAGTTTCAATTCTTGTATGTATATAGTAGAGAGAATGATCTCAACAAGGCAATGGAAGAGGACTACGCCAGGATGGATTTAGAAATTAAATTTGGGGGCCTGACTTGGTCACATTCACAGATAACACTCAGTTAAGCTCCTGTAATTCACCTAGTAGCCATGAGGTAGCTGTCATTATCCAAATGCAGACAAGAGGGACTCATGCTAAGAAACAGGCTTAGGAACACAAAGCCAGTACTTGAAAAAAGTTAAATTTAATCCCATATACTGTTACTCCAGGGCCCATGTTTCCCCAAGTATTTCTCCCTTGACAAGGAGGAGAAGCAGTTGTGAAATTTATAGCCTAGTGGCTTTTGCATCTGTCGGGGGGAGGAGGAAGCCACCCTCTGTTGCCACTCACTGGGGCTCCCCTAGGTTCTACCCTCATCTCTTTCTGAGTGTTTTCCCAGTTCAGCCCAGACTGCTCTTTCATCAGTTACCCATGATTCTGTGTTTGGTTTCCCACTGCAGCTTGTGTTCAGATCTGTGCTTACCCTTCAGATGGCCATCTTCTTGGCTGTACCACAACATGTAACATTGTCACTTACTTGACCATGATGTTCCCTGTCCACTACAATGAAATCTCTGCTAGAAGCATCTGAAAATCCCTTAACCTCCTAATCCACTTCCTACCCCCACCCTACTCCCAAAGATGAAAAAAGTAATACATATTGGTGCCATTTGGAGGACTAAGAAAGAAAAACAGGTTAGAGGACAAGGAGAGTAAGTAACATCAGGAAGGGAAAGTGAACTTGCAGTAAACATAGCATTTAACCAAGTACTCAGTGGTTATGGTTTTTAAAACTTTGAAATAAAGTTGAAAAACATTTACTAAGGCCTATTCCTATTAAAATTATCAGTAGGAAAGGAAGTAAGGTGAAAAATTGGAACATCCACTGATGAATTGTCCAAAAATCAGTTTGTATGATTGTCTCTTTTAGGTAAGTTTACTAAGTATTAACACAAATCCTAATATTTAAAGTGTGAAAGTAATTTAATCCATAGTATGTCAGCATGTATGTTTGCCTTTGATCCTGCTGCTGCTAAAGAGTAGATAGAGTGAATGAGAAATACCACATTGCAGAGTTTAGGTGAGCCTTGCCAACCTAACAGAAACAGGATTTAAAACCACATATTAATTTATTTAAACATTTGTTTCTGCAACTTTACCGCCTTAAATGCTTACGTCCCATATAGCACTTGATTGTAACAAAAAATACTAATGGTGAGTGGATTCATGCTTTTCTTTTGCTGAACTCCAAGATTACTTAATTTTCTCCTAAGAACTAACAACTTAGGAGAACTAACAACTTAGGGTTTGTGAGTATACGTGGCAAATTCTATATATCCCTAAAGGGGCTGTTTATAGAATTTGACCATTAGACCGCCTTAGCTGGCCCTGGCCTGGATCCCTGGGCCTGCGGCTTGCCTGCCATTCCTCATGACAGCCCTGGAGGCCTGGCCTGCTGGACCCCTAAGTCTCACCCGCTGTTTTCACGTTCGCTATACTGCAAACACGTGTGCGTGGGTTTCCTTTGTTTCTCGAGCCCAGCGCGTCCCACAGTTCGCGGGCCAGAGAGTGACTCGGCACTCCTCCAGGGAGAAAGTGCAGAGCGCCAAGGCCGACTGCGCAGACGCGGCCTTCCTAGCCCTGGCCGGAACAGCCGCACGGGCCGCTGGCTGGAGTGCTCCCGGCAGGCACCGCGGCCTTG